AAAGAGCATTCCCAAACCCCTAAAAAGAAAAGCAACATCTGGGTCCAATTTTGAAATTTTTCCCGATTTTTTTTTTTAAACCCTTCTAACTGACAACTGATGCTAGTTCAATTGGGGATAAAGGGGCCGAAATATCAGAAACCGATTGGGAAAATACAACGCATTGCATTTCTAGCCGAGTCCTTACGAAGGCTGAAAAAGGAATATACAGTAACTGACAAGAACTTTAAACAATAGTATTGGGCTTTAAAGCACTTCCCAACAAATTTTTTATCAGTAACCTTTTGTTTAAGTCTTGAAAGAAACCCTGCCCCCCGGGTACCCTTATTCCCGAACAAACAACCTACTGGAAGGGTTTGCCAGATGGGGCCCTTTACTAAAAAAAGTTTCCAAAACCCCCCCCTTTTGGGGCATTTTTCCTGGCAATTTAAATGTAGTCGCAGATGCCCTTTTCGCCACATGTTAGTTTTAAACTGCCCGATCCTCCCCTTTTGGCCTTTAAGGGTTTTAAAAAAATTCTCAAAGAACAGATCCCCCTGGGGGTCTTGGGGGGTGATTCATTTCCCCTCCCCGGGAAATCTTTTCTACTGTGGGAAACCACCAGCACCCCATCAGTGGGCTTTGTTCCCTGAAACCCAAAAATTCCCGTATCGAAAAGCCGAGTTGGGTTTCTCCAAACAAAGAAATAACCCTTAGTAATTCCACGTCCCCTAGTGAAAGTACCCTTTCAGCTATTTTACGATGTAAACCCGGTTTGGGAAAACCCTGGTATTTGGGTCGGTCTTAAAAAAAAGCCAGAAATTTAAAAACTTTTTGGGCCCGTATGGCAACTGATATTTTTGAGTATGGGTTTAAAAAATGTAGGTCTTTCAAAGCAACATAAAAGGGAATGCTAATGGCCCCTAATCCAATCCCCAAATTATCCAACTACTAGCGAACCGGGGGGAAAGAGTTCGCTAAAATTTGTTAAATAAAATTTTCCCAAAGTTCCCTTTCCAAAATAACAAAACCCCTGGGGTTATGGAGACCATTTTCAACCCGATATTGGATTTTTGTTCCCAAATTTCAGATAAGACTGCCCAGACCCGTACTAAAGCGTTTTAAAAGAAAAGCCCTTTTCTGCAGACATACCCCCCTAAGTCCCTAGAAAAAGATAATGGAGGTGAAATTTTGTAATGAAATTCCCGGAAAAAATTTTTGTGCACCTTGTACAAGACTCTAAAAACCACCATTGTTTTTTCTCATTTCCCGCCCCAAAGGGTTAGGCGGAACGAACCAATAAAAAAGTAATTGAGTCTTGAAAGCCCCCTACAAACCCAACATGAAAAATTGGGATGAAGTTATACCTGAAGTGGGGGGAGTCTATAAATTCTGCTTACAAAAGTTTTTTATAGGTGACACCTCCCCCACTATGCTTGTATGGTGTAATAAACTTTTCCTTATGATTGTTTTTATTCTAATCCGAAACCAAATTACAACCCCGATGATTCCAAAAACAACTCGTACCACTTACTCCAAAATTTTTTTGAAAACCCCTGAAACACTTTATAAAACAACAGCCGAATTTACAAGAGTTTCAAACACTCGAGCAAACCATCCAAAATAAAGTAGGTTCGGAGTTATCTTTATTAAAATTTTAAAAAAAAGTCCCGCAAAAGGGCCCAAAACTTGATCAAAAGTTTGTTGGTCCTTATCGAGTATTTGAACATACCTGAAATAATATAAGGGTTTGAGAGATTAGTACGGTCATTTTAAAAAATTTGCATTTTGATCCCTATGAAAATTAGTATGGGAGATAATTTGGTCCAACCCAGACTAATGTGACAGACTCTGACAAAACCTCCTGATCCCCGTACCTCTTCCTCTGTACTTTATTTAGACGAACAACCTGAAAAGTGTTATTTTCCCAAATACACGACAGGGATTGAGAAATCCTCAAGAAACCTTTGTAACTTCCAATTCGATTTTCCTCAAATACAGCATGAGTTAGCCAATCTACCCGAGTTTTTTATCCTCCCAGAGATGACACCCATTCTGCATATGTCAATCTTTTCCCAACAGAGTTGGGGTTTAAAAGGGAAATAACCTTAAAAGATGAAAATTACAGTATCAACTTATCATAACAAGGGAATTTTTTTTTTTTTTGTTCATGTTCTCTCCGCATTCCCCGAAGTTAACAGTCTAGATTTTAGTGCCAAACCCAATCTGCCTTTCTGTTTTAAAAAAATCTTTTCCTTTTTAAAATATTCCTCCCTCAAAAATCCGTAATCACAGAAAAAAAAATTGACGATCAAAATTTTTTTTTTTTCACTTGTAAAACTCAAACGTTGAGTTCGATGTTCATTTGTTGAGTTTTTTAAATTGTGCAAAATTTACCTTTTTATTGCATTACAAATTTCAAAATTTCTTTAAACTTCCATTTTCCAAAAGTTTTACTTTTGTATGTTATAAAGTTTAAAATTTTTGTGTACTTTGACAAATTTTATAGATCAGCCCAAACCGTATACCGCCATCTCTAAATTTGTATTAGTTTTATTTGGGACGACATACGTTAGGTCGCCCAGCCTCAGTAGTAGTAACCCCGTTAAACCCCTAACCACTGTGCCCTTTTACTACACCAACCCTTTTCTGCCCGAGTCCAAATGTCCCGAACTCATGTGCTGACCTGGCAGTAAAACAAAGACCCCCTCACATAGGGTTTCTTGGGGGGCCAGGCAGTCAGTGTTACGAGAGGAGCAAGGGGTAAGGGTTTAAAGGCTGTAAGGGGTCTCCCCCACATTTCTGTAATTATACGTACTAAAAAACCTACGTGAGTATTACTTTTCCCAATCCAAAAGGGGTTTGAACTTTTTCCCCCAAAGATAAAACCCCCTGCCTTGGTCAAAAAGGCCCCCCAAAGGGGGTTCCCTAAATGAAATCTTAAAAAAAAAAATGTGCCTTTTTTAAAATTTTTTACAAATTTCAAATTTTTTGGGAAATTTTTTACAGAAGTATTTGGTAACATACAAAAATACATTAAACAGTGTGTAATTACCAAAATTTTTTTTATGTAACCAAAAAAGTTTATATTCACCATTAAAAGTGTTTTGATTAAACATTTAAATTAAAAAACGTATGGTATATTAGCATTTTTAAATTTTAAAATATTGGGTGTGTTCATAAAAGAATTTTTAAAATTTTGGGGCAAGGGAAAATGGGTTAAAAATTATACAGGGCACAGAGCACCTGGGGAATGGGGAGGGAACTAGAAAAAATGTACCTTGGATTAAAAGTGCTTCACTAGAACAAAGGAAGGGTTGTAATTAATAAAAATAATGAATAAGTACTATATCTTGAAAAACAGACAAACCCTGAAGGGAATCTAAGTTAAAAAATTTTCTTTTTTTTATACTAACCTGGATTCGCCTCCAAAATTTTTCTCCCTTAACTCTTTTCATTAATTTATTATAAATGATAAAAAAGCTAAGAAGTATGACAACTGGTAATGGTTTTTGGATTAAAAAAAAAAAAAAAAAAAAAAAAAAAAAAAAAAAAAAAAAGACCTTGATTAAATGGGTATATACATGTACTGTATTTGACGTGATCAGATGGTGTTTGAAATATACATTAACCCCTTGACTGTCGCAACCCCCAATCCTGAGGTGTCTCCTGGTGTTGCAAAATTTAAAAAAAATTCTTTTTTCTTATGAAATGATAGATAATCTTTTCCCGATTGTAATGACACCAAAAAAAACGAAATTTGATGGAAAACTGACGGAATTACGCTCTCGCGAAGTTAGCGACCTCGGCGATATTTACAAATTGGAGATTTCGCCCAATTTGAGCCCTATTTTTGGCTAATTCCATTGTTCCAGTCGACAAAAATCATAGCTATTTCTTTAGAACTCCGTTTTTTCTATCGATTGAGTACAAGAGACTGCCCATTTACCAATTTCAACTACCCAATAACGTGGTCAGAAATTTGCAATTTGGCCAATTTCACAAAAATTAAAAAATATGACAATTTCAAAATAAGGTCCAGAATGAACAATGCAGACATTTCTGGCTCTAAAATAACATTTTCTTTGTTCATCAGTCATGTCTCCAGGCCCCTCTGATATTACTCTTGCTTTCTATTTTGAATTTTTACTCAAAAAATAGAAGATTTATTATTATGCAGACTACTGCAATACTGTAATAATTGTATAAATAACATCAAACCATTCATGACTGCATATTAGAATGGCTAGTTGGCCATTTATTGGACAATGACATCATTTGTTTACTTTTGAACATCGGCAAAAATCAAACATTTCCCCTAATTTGAGCTCCATTTCCAGGTTCTTTTTATGGAAAAATCAATCAAAATCACCTCTATTCCTATAGTATGTTTTCCATTCTATCAAATGAGACCAAGAAAACGAGAATACAACCATAAATACTACACGAAAATAGACCACAAAGTCGGCATTTTAATTAAAAAAAAAACGGTCAGTTTTTCTTTTCTCATTATGTACTGCGTGCTCCAGGATTTTTTTTATATGGTGCACACTGACCACACAGACCCATTCTCTCACATGTGGGCCTACCAGCTTTCTCCTTCTTGATTTGAAGCCGCTAGAATTTAAGAGTACAGTGGACCCCCGGTTAACGATATTTTTTCATTCCAGAAGTATGTTCAGGTGCCAGTACTGACTGAATTTGTTCCCATAAGGAATATTGTGAAGTAGATTAGTCCATTTCAGACCCCCAAACATACACGTACAAACGCACTTACATAAATACACTTACATAATTGGTCGCATTGGGAGGTGATCGTTAAGCGTGGGTCCACTGTATATATACGTCAAACACGGTACCTCGTAAGACGTATATATACGGCCGCGACAGTCAAAGGGTTAAAGGGGGTAATGTAATTTTGGAATCAGCAATTCATGTAAAATCACTGATAAGAGATGAACAAAGTTCTATGTCAGCGATTTCCAAGCACGCACCCCTTCTCCTGTATAAAGTATTAAATGTTAAAATTAAAACTTTACGAAAGCATTTCTTCTTTTTCAGGTTACCCCACCTCAGTGGGAGACAGTCGGTGTTAAAAAAAAAAAAACTACCTTTCTCTACCTTTGATGTGTTTCAAGAGTTTTCCTTCTCCCAGAGCCCTGCCCTGGGTCAGGTTTGTCATGCTTACCTGATCAACCAGGCTGCTGCTGGTGGCGGCTTGCTAGCTCACGTATCTGCCATAGCCTGGTTGACATACTGCTTACACATACAATAAAAACAATATACAGAATAACTCGTGAAATTGATACAACTCAAAATGGCGGTAAACAACTCCCAAAACAAAGGGGTGCAAATCTATGGTAAGCCAGTATGCTAACCACTGTACCATGCTGTCCTAATATATTTGCCAAACTGGGTAAATTTCTCTACCCTAGGAAGGTTATTGTGGATGCCACTGTGACCACAATGCAAATGAATCTCACACCAACATGGCTGTAGCAAGCTCCAGCTTGAGCCTTTCAAAGCTGTTATTAAATTACTTGAGAAATCTTAGTAACATAACTGGTAACTTTTGGAATGGATGGGATTTGAACCCATCATAAGCCAGTTTTAAAACTGCATTGTAGTCACAGTGGAGGCCTATGCTATCCTTCCTAGGGTATAGAAATTAACCAAGTTGGACAAATATTAGGTCATCAGTGTACAGATGTTAACACACTGGCCTACCAGTTTTAAGACTGGCTTGCCATACATTTAAACCCCATCTGTACCCAGAGTTGTCATATACAGTACTGTTTTTTTTTTCAACAAGTCAGCCGTCTCCCACTGAGGCAGGGTGACCCAAAAAGAAAGAAAATCCCAAAAAAGAAAATACTTTGATCATTATTCAACACTTTTACCTCACTCATACATAATCAGTGTCTTTGCAGAGATGCCCAGATACAACAGTTTAGAAGCATTTATAAAGATATATATGCTTCTAAACATATCCCTCCAAACTGCCAATATCCTAAACCCCTCCTTTAAAGTGCAGGCATTGTATTATACATTTTAATTACACAATTTTAATCAATACTAATGCTAATTATCATGACTAATTATTTATTGCCTGATAACAATTAATGTAAAGTTTGAGATCTGTTTTTATCTAAAGTTTCCTCCTATCCAACATTCTGACAAATATTTTAATTAAAAAGTTACTAATGTATTTTACAGTTAATTTAGGCTGCAACTTTAAAATACTTAAATAATATTAATTAAAGTCTATCTTCTGCCTCTTGACTTTGTAGCCTCTGCTTCTGCGGGACCTCTGAATTCATTAACAAGTTCCTCCATTACTTCATCTCTTGCTGGTGCATAACAGGAATATTCCATTGCAAATTCTCCTTTTCCCTGTGTTGAGGAGCGTAGTTCTGTTGCATATCCAAACATTTTGTTCAGTGGGACCTGTTGAGAGCAAGTTTAAATGAGTTAGCATCACATTATGGTTATAATCCTGCATTACTGTATTTGCCTCTACAATCATGTATTTTCTATTAAAATTTTTGTATTTTTTTATGAATCAATCGGTATAATGTTGCCTCATTTCTGTAGTGATTACCTGCTTGCTATATTATGCCTAGCTTTGCTCGTGTCCTACCTTTAGCATTTATGAGTGGTATTTTAGCTTAGTAAACAATTCTGTTTCAGTCAAACTGAGCATTTGTGTAGTCACCTTCAATCTTTTCCAGCAAAGTAAAATGCTGCATAGCACTTGATGATGATACAAGATGCTTGTGTGCAGACTAGTTCTGAAGATTCATTAATTGATGCCTTCCCTCCCATACAGTGTGTGATTCTCCAGATGTCCATAAAAATACATGTCTGACTTGAGTCCTGGAGGTGGGGACTACAGTGCCTGCATTCTCAAGGAGGGGTTTGGGATATATGCTGTTTGGAGGGTCATCTAAACTGCTGTATCTGTATGCCTCTGGCAAGGCAGTTATGGTGTGAATGATGGTGAAAGTGTTTCTTATTTTGGTTACCCTGCCTCGGTAGGAGATGGCCAGCATGTGAAAAAAAAAATCCACTGTAAGAAGCAATTATAAATGAATATTTTTCTCTTTTTTTCTTAAAGTTTTCTCTTCTTGCTAGGGTTTTCTGAGTTTGAAATATCTTATGTTTCTAAATAAACTGGAAAAGAAAAATTAAATCAGATGAAAACTTGTTATTTTAGGGCAACACCTGCACATATGTACATAGTGGTATTTGTATTTTCCCACTTATTTATGCCAAAGATATTTTTCAGTCTCCATGGGCAAGTGGAGATGAAATCATCCTCCATATACCATGTGTGTCACATTTATTATTATTTATTAACACATTGGCCGATTCCCACGAAGGCAGGGTGGCCCGAAAAAGAAAAACTTTCATCATCATTCACTCAATCACTGTCTTCCCAGAGGGGTGCTTTACACTACAGTTATAAAACTGCAACATTAACACACCTCCTTCAGAGTGCAGACACTATACTTCCCATCTCCAGGACTCAAGTCCGGCCTACCGGTTTCCCTGAATCCCTTCATAAATGTTACTTTGTTCACACTCCAACAGCATGTCAAGTATTAAAAACCATTTGCCTCCATTCACTCCTATCAAATACGCTCACACGAGGCAACTAAAATGCCAGGAGCAAGGGGCTAGTAACCCCTTCTCCTGTATAAATTACTAAATATAAAAAGAAAAACATTTCAGTGGGAGATGGCTGTTGTGCTAAAAAAAAAAAAAATCCAGAGTAACACTATGTACACTAGTTAAAATTTGTATTAGACATGTTTCAGTACTTTAAATGTAAGGTGATGCAAAGCTTACCATAGCTAACATATGGAATATACAATATAAATTGGTAAAAATAATTGTTTTTCTGATTTCACTGCTTTAATCTTATAACATTATGTATAACAAAATCTTATGATACAGTATTATAAGCATTTCAAAACATGGAAATAAGTCATATAGATGTAGAGCGGTATATTTCTTTGTTTACATGGGGTAAAGAAGTACCATTACTCATGATAAACCGAGTGGTCCTGCCTGGTACTACTACTATGTTTTTTAAGTGACAAGATAATAGGTCACCTAAACAATTAAAATGAGGCATAAAATATCAGCAGGAAGCAAATTTGAAGGCATGAAAATTACATACACATTTAATGGATCACAGTTAAAGGGTTAATGTTGTCTAAACTTTTAAACTGAGGTGCTGAAGTAAATTTTGTAAATTGCCACCTTCTATACTGATGTAAGATACATCAGTATAGAAGGTACAAAGCCAATCAGATGAGGCATTTTCCAGATATCCCATGAAACCAATACAGTAAACCCTTGATTTACCCTTAAACTGTCCAAATGTAGATCTACGTTCACGTGCATAGCGCTCTGAACGTAGATGTACTTTTTTTTTTACATAAGAAACCATGTAAAATAGAAAGTTAAGAGTGCTACACACGTGAACGCAGATGTACGTTTGGACAGTTTAACCCCTAAACTGTCCAAACGTAGATCTATGTTCACATGCATAGCGCTCTGACCTTTATTTTCTCTATTTGAAAGCATGTAAAAAAACGTAGATCTACGTTCGGAGCACTACGCACATGAACGTAGATCTACATTTGGACAGTTTAAGGGTTAATGAACAGGGAAGAGCAGGTAGCCAGTAATGGTGACTGTGGATATAGACAAGATTGCTTTGCCGTGACTAATAACTATGGACATTTCTGTAACCAATGAACTCTGCTCACCATTTCTAAATCAACTGACCCAGTGGAATTTTTCCTATATTTCCCAAATCCGTTAAATCAAGGTCCATTAAACTGAGGATTTATTGTATTCAATTTCTTCAATAAAGGTAACAAAGTAGTGCCTGCACCGCCCAAGATCTTTTAAAAAAAATTTCTAATTGACACCAACAATTAGGGTTTGAAGCTGTCCAGTTTAACCCTTTCAGGGTCGAGAAGCCTTCTCCTAAACTTGTTCTCAGGGTCGAAAATTTTTCGGAAAAAAAAAAATTATTTGTTTCTTAGGAAACAATAGAGAATCTTTTCCCGATCATAATGACACCAAAAATGTGAAATTTGGTGGAAAACTTATGGAATTATGCTCTCGCAAAGTTAGCGCTCTCGACGATGTTTACGCATCAGCGATTTCGCCCATTTTGAGCCTTATTTTCGGCCAATTCCAGTGTACTAGTTGACAAAAATCATAACTATTTTGCTAGAACTTAATTTTTTCTATCGAATGAGTACAAGGAACCACCCATTTACCGATTTCAGCTATCCAGTAAAGTGGTCAGAAATTGGCAATTTTGCCAATTTCAAACAAATTTCAAAAGGTGCCAATTTCCAAATAGGGTCCAGAATAAACAAGACAGACATTCCTGGCACTAAAATAACATTTCCTTTGTTCATTAGTCACGTCCCCATGCCCCTCTTATATTTCTTTTGCTTTCCACTTTGAATTTTTCTTGATAGTTGTGACAGAACCCACAGGCATAACACCAGACACAAACATCTCTACGACATTCCCCATGTCCGACTAAACCTTTACAAAAATTCAATGTATGTCAAAGGCCCTAAAATCTGGAACACCCTACCTGAGAACTCCAGAACTACAGACACATTCATCACCTTCAAAACTACCATTAGAAAACATCTTATCTCCCTGATAAACCCCATCAACTAACTACACGAATACCACCTGGTGGTTCACACTTACACTCACTCACCCATTTGACCATAAACAGAAATATTAATCTCAATCTTAAAATAATGAATCCTATGATACTCCAATACTGAAACTATGTACTGTGCCAAAACAAAAGCATTCACATTGCTAAACTCACAAACTAGTATTTAGTCACTTAGCCATAATACCAACTTACCTCATAATTTGTAATATTTTAAAATAAAGAATTAAAACTAAGTCTGCCCGAAATGCCTAGCCATGCTAGGCGTTCTAGTGGTACACTCTGTAATCATTATTTAACTACATGTAAACCACACAACAACCAAATTCTGTAAATTCAACATTGTAATCTTTATAGAGAATAAACTTTGAATTTGAATTTGAATTTATTCTCACAAAAAAAATAGAAGATTTACTGTTATGCAGACTACTGCATTAGTGTAGAAATGGTATAAATAATATCAGCGCACTTGTAAAAGAATATTAGACTCACCAGTTGATGTGTATTGTATGTATGACATGATTTGTTTACTTTTGAAATTTGGCAGAAATCGAACATTTCTGCTACTTTGAGCTCAATTTCAAGGTACTTTTCATTGTTAGAAACCAATCAAAATCATCTCAATTTCTGTAATATGCTTCCATTCTATAAAATGAGACCAGAAAAACTATAATACAACCATAAATACCATACGAAAATACATTGCAAAGTCGCTGTTTTAAACCAAAAACACGGTCAAAAGTTATTTTTTTTTTCTCATTATGCACTGTGTGCTGCAGGATTTTTTTATACTGTGCACACTGACCCCATAAACCCATTCTTTCATATGTAGGCCTACCAGCTTTCTCTCACTAGATTTGAAGGCACTAGAATTTAGGCGTACTAGTACGTCAATAACCCTGGTGCGCAAGGCGTACTAGTACATCGGAAACTCTGAAAGGGTTAATAAAATTAACTAAAATTTACACAGCTCTCCCCTTCTGTCTGTTTTACGCAGCTCAAAAACCATACTCCAATTATTGTTTGGAATCCAACAACACCAAATTTGTTAACCATGCTAGTATCAGGGTTTGCCAAAGTAGCAGTATCGGTAGGTATGGGTATGCTACTGGCCTAAAATTGAGTATCTGTGTTGGCAGGTTTTGTTTTCGTACTATCACTAGTAAAGTAAGATATTTGTATCTAAACCAGCTAAACTTACAAGGTCCTATCCTATCCATAACATGTATTAACTATTAATGATGTTATTTCAGAGAAAATATACCACACTACTTTAACAATAAAATTGGAAAATTGTAACCTGTACACTCCAATAACAATCCCAGCCCTGTAGGTGAATGGTTCAGAGAACCGACAAGTTGATAATTTAAAACACATGTGCAACACTTATGTATCTTTAAGGAGGAAACATTTTGCCAGACAGTGGCTTCATCAGTCCATACAAAGGAGAATAGTCAAGAACAGGAGTAGTTTGAGGTTTACCTGGAGAAAGTTCCGGGGGTCAACGCCCCCGCAGCCAGGTCTGTGAGCAGGCCTCATGGTGGAACAGAGCCTTATCAACCAGGCTGTTACTGCTGGCAGCACGCAATCCAATGTACGAGCCACAGCCCAGCTGGTCAGGTACCGACTTTAGGTGCTTGTCCAGTGCCTGCTTGAAGACAGCCAGGGGTCTATTGGTAATCCTCCTTATGTATGCTGGGAGGCAGCTGAACAGTCTTGGGGCCCTGACACTTATTGTGTTGTCTCTTAACATGCTAGTGACACCCCTGCTTTTCATTGGGGGGATGTTGCATCATCTGCCGAGTCTTTTGCTTTTGTAGTGAGTGATTTTCGTGTGCAAGTTCGGTACTAGTCCCTCTAGGATTTTCCATGTGTATATGATCATTTCTCTCTCCTGCCTGCGTTCCAGGGAGTACAGGTTCAGGAACTTCAAGCGCTCTCAGTAACTGAGGTGTTTTATCTCCGTTATGCGCGCCGTGTAGGTTCTCTGTACATTTTCTAGGTCAGCAATTTCACCTGCCTTGAAAGGTGCTGTTAGTGTGCAGCAATATTCCAGCCTAGATAGAACAAGCGACCTGAAGAGTGTCATCATGGGCTTGGCATCCCTAGTATTGAAGGTTCTCATTATCCATCCCGTCATTTTTCTAGCAAATGCAATTGATATAATGTTATGGTGCTTGAAGGTGAGATCCTTTGACATAGGTTTTTCGCTCAATTTTGTGGCTGGAATTGGTTTTGTACTCTGATGAAGTTTTAATTTCCTCATGTTTACCATATCGGAGTAACAAAAATTTCTCATCATTGAACTTCATACTGTTTTCTGCAGCCCACTGAAAGATTTGGCTGATGTCCACCTGGAGCCTTGCAGTGTCTGCAATGGAAGACACTGTCATGCAGATTCGGGTGTCATCTGCAAAGGAAGACACGGTGCTGTGGCTGACAAAGATGTCAGCCACAGCACCGGATGAGAAACAAGATGGGAGCGAGTACTGTGCCTTGCAGAACAGAGCTTTTCACCGTAACCGCCTCAGACTTTACTCTGTTGACTACTACTCTGTGTTCTGTTTGTGAGGAAATTATAAATCCATCTACCAACTTTTCCTGTTATTCCTTTAGCACGCATTTTGTGCGCTATTATGCCATGGTCACACTTGTCGAAAGGCTTTTGCAAAGTCTGTATACAGTGGACGCCTGCTTTACGATCAGCTCCCAATGCGACCAATTATGTTAAGTGTATTTATGTTAGTGCGTTTGTACGAGTATGTTTGGGGGTCTGAAATGGACTAATCTACTTCACAATATTCCTTATGGGAACAAATTCGTTCAGTACTGGCACCTGAACATACTTCTGGAATGAAATAATATCGTAAACCGGGGGTCCACTGTATATTACATCTGCATTCTTTTTGTCTTCTAGTGCATCTAGGACCTTGTCATAGTGATCCAGTAGTTGGGACAGACAGGAGCGACAAGCTCTAAACCCATGTTACCCTGGGTTGTGTAATTGATGGGTATCCAGATGGGTGGCGATCTTGCTTCTTAGGATCCTTTCAAAGATTTTTATGATATGGGATGTTAGTGCTATCGGTCTGTAGTTCTTTGTACCTCTCTGAAGGCAACTTGTCACAGCCG